AAAAGTCATTTAAAACTATTTTCAACTTTTTTATTCGACTAATAAAACTAATAGTTAGCAGATGATTTAAGAGTATATAAATTAGTATATCTGTCGATTTTGGCGAAAATGTAAAGTGTTATACATAAAACTATGAGACCTTCAAACAGGAATAAGTGTATGTGAGCCCAAATATCGAAGTGAATTTGAAAATCTGAACTAGGGGATATTTTGAACCTCACTACGTCACTGTATTTTGATTAAAGAAGAACATGTTAATATTTTTAAAGCTAAGCTTGCATATTAAACAATTAGGTGGAAGTTCATAATAATGCTACACCCATTAAATGGGTTATGGTCTTAAGGAGAACCGAATACATCTATCCCTGCCTCTTGCGAGACGAGACAGGCATGCAGTATCATCCTGTGGTGCATCCACTCGACAGCCTTCTCCATCGGTGGACCAATTAGGTGAAAGACACTGTATATGAAGACATCTGTCGATGCAATTTTAGTGATATCAGGCTTAGATGCACTATTTCAGGGAAATACTCAGAATTGGTGCACAGAAAGTAGTTAAGGATAAAACTTCCACAGAATAACTATAAAATTCCTACCTTTATTTAGGCATCTATAAATTAGCGATTTCACTCACTTCGTCGTGGAAACCTAAAACAAATCTACCAAGATAATAATTAATAGCGCTTAGTTTGAAAACAACTAAGACACAGAGAAACATAATTTAAACTTGATATCTTTCACTTATTTGTTACTCATCAGTCAGACACTTATTCAGTTAAACTTTTAGAGAAATTCGAATAAACTGACAGAAATGCTGGTTTTCAATAAAAAGGTATTATAATTTCATTTAGAAGAGAATCATGCAAACAGAAACACTTACCAGCTTAATTACAGTTACTTCAACTTTCTTATAGTAATAATGATAATCATAACAGTAATTTGACATAAATTATTCCTCGATGTAAGCAATAAATCATGGCTCTTATTATCAGTTCTAAAAAAATACGCATCAGGTTGATTCAGGTAAACTGATAATGGCTATCACCTCTTTTAAATGTCATGTGCCTAGTCCTCAGTCTCGGTGCTGACTGTACTATATCTGTTAAGTTTGGTCACCGAGCCAGGCGATTTGTCAATACCAAGAATTAGACACATGACATTGATTATTCCCTAATGGCCAACCAATGTACTCATTACGGTCCTACTGAAGAATAGTCTTGAGCACGAGTAGCCGCATAACTAGATGGTGTGCGTTTGAATCTCTCAGGGTAAATTATTTACTAGAATGTTGCAGTTACACCTTTTTGAAGATTATCAGCAAGCAAAAACCTAGGTCCAAGGATTCCTGTTGATGTTCCCCAATAAGCTGACGTCTTTTCAACAGTTTTATTACTATTCAGGATGGTCTGTTGAATGCATTTTGAAAACGTATGTTATTGCACATTACTTCTTTTTTAATGTTGAAGACATTTGGAGAAATTCATCGTAACTTACTTATATCAATGACTAAAAACAGTAAACTATGTTAATGAATGAAGTGGCTATTCCCTTTACACAGATACACCTGACATTTTGCATACTTAGTTGGACTGCCCCTAAAGTATTGTACAATGTAATCATTTTGGTCATTACTGCCTACTTTTTCGCGTTCGATAAATTTATTGTATTTCGTACTCAACACGTCGTCCAGTAAATCATACTGTAATATTTTATGCTATATCACTATAAAATTACATTCTATCATGGTAACAGGTTTTAATTTTAAGAAGAAAGATACACTTCATTTTAAAATACGGTTCATAATAACAGGAAAAAATCATGGTAAAACTTTCATATAGATTATATATTTGACATTATGAGAATGATACAACTAAAATGAAATGCATATTTTAAATTCCACAGTAAGTTATTGTTAGTAAATCGTTTATTCAGTCAATCATATTTTGAGTAGGGAGGTTGCATCCCCTAGTCTATCCTTCCAATTGTAGTTATACTTAATTTAGTGTATTAGTCAAAAATCATTACATGTTTTTACATGAATTGTACAGGATTAACTTGTCTGTCTGTCTGTTTTCGACATAGAACTTTGCACATATGTGCGGCAGTTCAAGTCTCCACACTCCATGTAGCACACAAAGCAACAGAAGAAAGTAGGAGAAATGCATATTAGAGGCAGTAAACAGAGGTGTGAGACAAAGGAATAGTAATAATGAAGAACAAAACAGTTTAATTGGAAATCATAAGTCACAAGGAGTGGATGCATCTGCGCCATTGAGAACGATTTTGAGCCATGTCACCAATTGTTTCCAACCATTGGTTTTTACCGTTTCGGGGACCCTAACCAGGAAGTCTACATCTTCCTACGTGGCTTAAGATAACTGTTGTGGATTTCATTGACTGGTGCCATGTTTTAGTTTGACCGCCGCTAGCTTTTTCCAGCCTGACCCTATATCAGCTAACATTGCCTGTCGAGGAAGGCGATGACTAGGCATACGTAAAACATGTCCTAACCATCTCAGTCGATGTAACTTCACAGCTTCGTCCATTGATTTCCCCTCCTTACCTACCACTCGACGCCTGACCTCAATAATGCTCACCCTATTATACCACCTAGTACGGGAGATAGAACGCAGGCACCTGTGATCAAAGACAGCTAGTCTTTTCATGTCTTCCGCTCTCAATGGTCAGGTCTCACGGCCATAAAGGAGGACGGAGCGGATTAACTTGCCATTATCACGATGCATATGCTGCCATCTAGACCAGTTTTATGCTAATAATAATATACTGACTATAGGTAAACTCAGCCTAAAGGGAAATAGTCCTTCCCTATAGGCATAAAACTCCGATTTACTTTCACAACCAGAAAATTTTACATCAAATTACCAGATCTAATTCTTTAGGAATCCCAGTAAACAGTTTAGGACACAACAAAATAAACTCATTATATTCTTCACTATCTTAATCTCGCTTATCATCAAGACTTATTTAGCATGATGCAGGTTGTCAATTATAAATTATCAATCTATTAAAAAAAAAAAAACTATTGAAAGACACTAATATTAATGACACTACAATCATACAATAATAGTTCTTTCAAAAATCACTTGAATACTTCTGAATTAATAGGCCAAAATGTCGTGAAAAATAATTAAAATAAGGAACGTATTTAATGAAGAATACACTTCTGGAAGTTTAGCAGTGCAATTCACTGCTTATTATTCATTTTCTGTGATACTCAGCTAAAGTGTTGGGTTTATTACATTTAAGAGTTTCACTGATCAAGTTAGTTTGTGAGTTCATATCTAATAGTAGGTATATACTATCATGCATTTACGCTTGCTTTTCCAATTGTCATTTATGGTATTACAAATTGCGAGTAGTTTCCAACTACCCATATAAATTACTAGTAAATTAAGTATTCATTCTAAATATTATGTCAATTTCAGGCTATTCAAAACTAATTCCAAAGTAATTCCACGTGTTGAGGAATACCGAGATTGGAAATCTTAATTTTGGGGAAGTAGCGATATGTCTTGTGAGTCGGTGGTACAGACGTAAAATGCTTGCCAACCACGCATGTAGTCCGGGTTTCAATCCTGGGCGATGCACTCCTTTACCTCGCTAAGCCAGTAATAAAAAAAGGTAGTGAAGAGGAAAGGTTAAGCATGAGGCTAGCAACCACATCCTGTAAAAATAAACACTACTGCTACCGAAACTTCAGAGCTCTAGCTTGAATCCCTATTTTCCACTTGGAACGTTAAAGGAATAAAAAAGTGATATGTCTATTTAAAAAGATGAGTTTTTGCAGCTAAGTTTCATTACATTGAAATTTATGAAGGCATAACTAAGAAACAACTAAATAAAAATTGAAAACTGATTTTCATGTAATTTGTGCAACTAATGCGAAGACTTGTAGCTTCAACCCATTTGCAGATATCAGGATTTAAAGATTCAGAAAAAAAGTGTATTGGGAGAGAATTGTTCCATGAGGATATTTTACTGTAATACTCAGTAATTCATATCTTATTTCAGCACACTCTGATAACAGATGAGAAAGAAAAAGAAGAAGAAATATCAAATATTACTGAGACTCTCAAGCAAAACAACTACCCAAAGAACTTCATCAACAAAATCAACACAGACATTAAGTATGGTTGAAAACGTATTCTGAAAACATGGACCTCAACAGTTGTCATTCCATATATAGCGGAGACGTTAGACGATATCAGAAGAGTACTCAATAAGCTCGACATCAGAGTTTTCTTCAAAACATCAGACACACTGCGAAACAACCTTGTCCATATTAAAGAGCAAATCCCCAAAGATTCTCTATTTAGTTGTCTATAAAATAAATCGCTTGAAATGTGATGAGATATAAATCAGACAAACATCTCGAGAAATCAAAATCAGAAGGAATGAACACCGTAGGGCATCTGTTCGGCCACTTAGAAATCCAATTAAACTAGAAAAGCTTGAAAAATCATCAGCCATAGGTTTGCACTTTATTGAATCAGGCCATATAATTGATTTTGACAATATTGAAATAATCCAGAAAAATTTCAGAAATCACAGGGAACGTCTAATATCAGAAGCACTTCATATCAAGTGGAATCCAAGTTGTCTGGACAGGAATGGTGGACTAAAACAGAATCTGACCTGGTTACAACACCTCCCTCCCCCATGAAGTAACAAAATCAACACGAATGTGATAAGCAAGTTCACTATGTAAACACACACTGCTTTTAAAATGTTATACACTGATCAAATCCAACAATCTACACTTGGTTTTATTATCTTTACTAATTGACCAACTTGATAACGTAAAAATTACCCCATGATGACAAAGTTGTTATATAAAAGCTGAGATTTTGTAAATTCTGGTTTAATAATACTTCGATAAAGCTATTAGCATTAAATAACGAAATGTCAGTAAAAACAATATCGTTCTTCATTCATTGGGAAATACAAAAAAACTTTATTATAATGAATTTATATCTTACCTTATTGCTCGATCCGATCACATCATCAATCCATCCTGGTGTACCTTCTGATTCTACATTTGTTTCTCCATTTGACAAAATACTATCTGCTGGAATTTCACTTGGCGCTAATAACCAAGAATAAATAGGACACATATAAAGATGTAAACCAAATTACCAATTTTCCAAGCACTTGTTAAAGGTAGCAAAATACAGTGGATGAATGAAAGTAAAACAAAGAGAAGGTGCCAAGTAGAGCTGTTATTCATGATGAAATATTTCGTTAATTAATTTCCAGAGTTAATGAAATCCTTTTCCGAAAACAAAAACTGATTTATATTGCAATAATCTGCTACATTATTTTTCCTTTTTTATGATTGGTAGCTCCTGACAAATAAATGTGACTGGCCAATCATCTTTCAGAAGCAAAAGACAGTTTATCAGTGTAATTGAGTTAACAAATAATCTTAAATTAAGTGAAATGCAAACAAAAGATGGTTTAGTATAAGTTTACACTACATGTAAATACACATTATGTGAAGATAATAGCCTTCAAAGGTTAAGGTAAATAAAGCTGTTGTTAAAAAAACAAAAACATGAGAGGGCTTTTCTTCGGCAGACTAGTGTTTAGTGCCATACAATGACGATCATACTTTTAATTAAAACTTGATCTACAGTAAAATTTCGAGACATAACCTTATTATCTTCACTGTTGATTTGAATGCTATAACGATTCAGGCTTTCTTTTAACTTCAGTTACCATTTAAATATAAAAATCATAAAATATTTATCCACGAAAGAAACTCCATTCTCATAGGGCTAATGCAAAATTCGATTTATTAACAGATAGATGACAGCAGGTGTGTATAAATAATTTTGCAGCACAAGGAATCAGTCTAAAATCTAAATATTTAACTTTAACACAGACTTTGAATATTTATGATAACATTTAAAATACTTGGGACTTATATTTTTTTTACAAGACTCAATAAACTCTGAAAAAGTTAAGTTCAAAGTCAGTAACCTCTAATACATCAGTATGTCGATTCTACAAACAGCTAAGACCTACACATTCGTAAGTATTTTAAAGAAAATACATCAAGGTAGATGTGAAATAAAAACTCAATAGACAATTTAGTCAGCTGTTTTTGTAAAATATGAAAAGATGTAATCATGATGAGCAATTATTCCAAGATTAATGATGAACTACCTTCAGTTAGAGAACCATTGAGAACGAGGGTGTGCTTGGAAGCTGTTTCGTCCTTCTTTGGGACTCCTTAGTGGTACTCACCTTAGATCCTACCAGGAATCGAACGCAGGACCTTCAGGTTACAAGGCAAGCTCCCAGACTGATCAGATACTAAGACTGATTCCAATGACTAGCCCGTCAATTCTAACTTCTATCAGTTTGTTACATACAGCGCGATCGCTAACCAATGTCACCAGCGAGTATTAGTACTCACCCCAAATTAGGTGCACCCATCTGGTCACTATTTCCTACTAGAACGATAGACAAATTCTCTAACATAATTTACTTCGTGATCAAACTTAAAATCAATCAGACCCCTACGAAAACGAACGCTTGAGGAATTATTTGATTAGAGATGATTCATTTCTTCTTTGAAACTGCACTTTGTGAACTGATAATATGTGGAACGAAATTCTAACATAAGTTGCCCATTTTGATAAGTGATAATGAATGCAAATGTAATAAAACTGTTCACAGACATAGTGCTTTTTTCAATTTTACTTCCAACCTTGTTAATATATAAAAGAAAAACAAGAATTAAAAACAAAATTCCTGCTGCTTACAATGACAACTGTTTGTTAACTCACTTCATAGCCCATAAACACCCTGAATGTATTAACGTTGATTTCATTTGCAAATTTGCATGCAGTCTGGGAAGAAACTACCTAGAAAGGATTGTAAAGAAGGCCATTCAACATAACTGTGTGTCCTAAATCGAAGAAAGCTTTATCATTGATGAAAACATCAGAACATAGGTATGTTATCAAGGTCAGTTAGGCTTTCAAATTGATCAGCGTACATCTGCTTTCTTTCTTTATACCTATTTCCACTAAACGTTTAAGGCGAAACTTATGATAGACTTTAAGATACAATAATTTACACTAGATTCTTTTGCATTATCACCTTTTCCTTTCTAGTATCTACTTAATGATTTTATCTTAAGCGAACTTTTTAACATTCTAAATCTGTTTACTCAGTAATTTACTTTTCAAACTAAACATATCTTCTGAAAATTATTTAATTTTGAGAAAAATAAAGTGCAGTTCCTTATATGGTATTATAATCAGACCTTTTCCGTTTTACGATTAAGACTGAACAGCTCATATTTCGAACTAAGTACCAAAACCATCATAGATTGATTAACAATCAAGTGTTGTATCCCTACACTTAGCTTCTTTGTGAAAGAACTAAGCTGATCTAAACCTGATTAAATATTCTTTTGAAAGTACATTGACTATTATTTGTTAGTCATCCGGAAAGCATTTTTGTTACAGTGTGAAGTAGTCTACTATTTATCTTGCGATAAATGTGATTACCTTTCATTTCTAAGTTTTCAAAATATACTTTTTATCAAAATGATTAGTTATAATATAGTCTTCTTCAGTTTGCAATTATCATAGTAGTCGATAAACGTTTCAAACTATTCATACCCTGTTCATCTTCTTTTCTTTTCTACAAATTGCGTACTTTTGATTTGTCGTACAACAATCAGCATAAATGGGAGGAACCTGAAAGAAACAACCTCCTTTACCTACCTTGGGAGCATCGTTTCAACTACAGGCCGACGGAAGTGACGAGGATATCAAAGCAAGGATCGGAAAAGCAAGACAAGTCTGTGTGGAGGTCAACAACACTCAGCATCAAAAATAAGATCCGGATTTTCAACTCCAATGTGAAGTCAGTGCTACTATACAGATCAGAGACTTGGCGCGTCATAAAGAGCATCTCCAACAAACTACAGACCTTCATTAACAGTTGTCTTCGCTCAATACTCAAGATCAGATGGCCGGCCAGAAAAGATCAACAACAGAGATCTCTAGCAATGTGGGAACCAACCAGGAACCGATTGTGAAACAAATAGGCAGGAAGAAATAGAGATGGATTGGCCATACTCTGAGGAAGCAAACCATCAAGTGAGTGACATCACTAGACAAGCCACTGATCGAGTGGAACCCGAAAGGGAAGCGGCGAGTTGGTCGTCCAAGGGTAACTTGGAGGAGATCATGTGAAGAGGAGATGAAGACGTGTGGGCAGACTTGGAGCCAGGTGAAGAACCTAGCAGAGAACAGAACGCAATGGAGACGCACGGCTGAAGCCAAATGTTCCTGTAGGAATTAAAGGATACAATAATAATAATATGTGAATAAATTCAGAAACTCTAACCTATAAACTATTATTCTATTTTGCCAAGCGTTGAGTTGAAGTATAGACGCCGAACTGGTGACAGACGCGGTAATCACCAGTATTGCCTGTATATGCCAAAAACGTATGTAACGGCTAGTCGATCTCTCAGCCTGCAAATTAAGCGAGAGCAAACAAATAATGAGACGGAAAAGTAAGTATATTTACACAATAACGTATAATTCAAAAAATCACTAGCGATGTCACTCAGTCTGTAATCATGATCAATAAATAGTGGGCGTACTCTATGTAGACCAATTCTAATTCGGCTATCTCCAGACTGGACATCGATCACCATATCAACTATTAATGATGTAACACAAATTTTAGATTGGACACTAATCAATAATTAGTGTGATGTATCTATGTGTCTAGTTCTATCTTTGGTGCAGACTGAATTCTGTCAATCAAGTTTGCAATGTAGCCACCATGCTAGGTGGCTCGCCATCATGGTGCACTGTGAATTGTTGGTATTAGATGGTTGGGGGCAATAGGTAGGAAGCCTTGGAACTAGGTTTCGTGCTAGTAAGGCGTGCTAGTCAGCAAGGCGTATCTGCAACCCCAAAGGAACTCATGTCCCTTCTGAGATAAGAACCCATGTCACCCAGTGCTGTAGTTAGAGATGTTGCCACTTTCAATAATTCTCTTTACAACTACTGTGCTTAATTTAGCTCCTAGAAAATGTTTACTCTGATTTAATAAAACAGTACTCAAATGCATCAGAATTCTCTCTTAAATTTAATATCAAATTTTAATTACTTAGCATTATTTAATAAGTAATCAGTTCACAATAGAAAAAAAGCTGCATTTTTAAATTCACTATGGCTAAGGAATGATCTCAGTTAACAAGGTTTAATATTAGTAGTTTCATAAAATTTATAATAACTTTTACCACACCAGAGTGAAATTTATCAAATTTTAATTTTAATCTTGGTGGTGATGTATATATATTTATTGGGTAAACTATATACTATATTATATCTAAAAAGTGTCTTATTTATTACACTTCATAAATGTGTGAGTTGCAGGATTGGGCAACATCTTCAATATGAAATGGTAGTTTAGGATCCTCCATGAGGTTGATAACTGTCCCTCTTGGTAGCCTTGAGGGTGACAGGCTGTCTGTAGAGGTTTTCTTATCTTCTTGTTCACTTGCATAGGTACTGGTTATTCTTTTGACCTGATAGATGACCCCTTGTACAAGTGTATTATTTTTTACTGTTTCATGAATCTGATCAATGTAAGTGTGTCTGCTGATTTCAGATTCATTAAAGCAACCAAATTCAAAAAATTCTCTGGCATTTTCCTTTGTCTATAACTTGTCCAGTTTGCTAACATTTAAAACCTGGCTACGGTGACAATGAAATTGCTGATATTCAAGCCTTTTGAACATGAAGATTCTATTTTTTAAAAATTAGGCATAAGATACACTCTTGATGTTTGATACATTACCATTCATAAGTTATGAATGTTTGGTTCAAAAGTGTAATTTATTGTCACTTTTAGTTTCACTCGCACTAGCGATTGTAATTTTGGGAAATAAATCTTGAAGATTCTCTGTAACAGATTCCTTGGTCTTCGAGAGATTCTTTTAAAATTAAAAAATAACTGAGAACAAATTCTGCCTTTTGTACATCTATTCATTTGTACTATTATGTGCTCTCCATCCTTTTTTAAGATCGTTATCTTCAGCAACTAACCGAATAAAATTCAGGATGCTTAAGAGTTTTCTCATACAGAATTATGTGATTATAAGCAATAGTTCAGCTGCTTATATTTAACCTCAAAGATGTTTAATAATACAGTAGTTTACTTATTTCTATATTTAGATACAAAAAT